CCCCCCCCCATCACAGGCTGAGCTGCTCCCGCTGGGCTGGGAGGGGGGAAGGGATTTCCCAGCTTTTCACAGCCGGTCCTCTGTCCTCTCTCCTCCCTTGAGTGCCGACCTCGTGGTCCATCAGTGAGGGAGGTGCCTGTGGAGCAGGGGAGCCACCAGGCCGGTGGTTCGACGCTAACGCTGTTTGGGAAGCCGCCTTTCTCACCCTTTTTCTCCTAGAAGCCCCAGCGTGCTGGGGTGACAGGGTGGGACACTTATCTACCCCAGAGGAAGCCCTGAGTTCACATCCTCTGCCCTGGCAGGGCGCTGGAAGGGGAAGTGAGAGCTGAGGGAGTGCAGGGGCGGGTCTAGGCCTCCGGGTTCTCAAAGAGGGCGGGGACTAGGGGTGAGTCTGATGGTGGGGGGTGGTCAAGGTACAGGCCCCCACCGCTCTAACTCGAGCCGAAGCCTCAATCCAGCGGATCCAGCCCAGATCTCAACCTGCCGGGCCCCTACCGCGGGGGGTCACTGGGGCCGGGGCCGCCGGAGGGGCGGGGCCTGAGTCCGAGGGCGGGGCCTGCTCCCAGGGCGGGGCCGGGGCCGGGGCCAGGGGTGTTCAGTGAGCGCACAGCCTTGTTCCAGCTGCGTCGCCGCTACCATGGGGCAGATCGAGTGGGCCATGTGGGCCAACGAGCAGGCACTGGCCTCCGGCCTGAGTGAGTGTGCACCCGGGCGGTGGGGTGGGGGCCCCAAGACCCCAGCTGGGGACCTCGGCTATAGCAGGGGAGGTGGGGCACAGGCGGGCTGGACTTCGGGGAGGATCGTCAGACCGCAGGTTTGGGGAAGGAGCGGCTCCAAGGCTCCTGGCCGCCAGTGCCCCGCCGATGCAGACCCCGCAGCCCCGACCCGCTTGGCGCCCCTTCCTTGGCCCTCTCAGCGAGGAGGAAGTTGCGGCCAGGGGAAGAGGCGTTGCGTCCGGGTGGTTTCCGGGGAGTCACTGCTGACCTGTTGGGCAAACCTACCCCGCCTCCGCAGCCCCCTCGTGCCCTGGAGCGGGGTCTCCGCTCCCCCGGAGCAGGACTGGGGAGGGGGCTCTCGTCCCGGGGAGGGGGCTCTCGTCCCATGGCGGGGACAGCCCTCCATCTGGGGCCTGGGATTTCACGATGTGGCTGGAAACCACCAGAGGGCAGGACAGCGCAGCGCCCCCCTTTCCCCTGCTGTGTGCTGCTTTCACCACCCCACCATCCCCAGGACCAGGGCCGGAGGCGTCATTCCCGGGAGTGGTGAGGCCAGGCCCTGCCTGGCCGTGGGCCCAGAAGTTTCAGGAAAGACCTGCACCTGGGAGTAGGGGGAGCCTGGGACGTCCGTGTCCCACAGAGAGCTCGGAGTTCCCTCCCTGTTGTCTGGGACAGCAGGCAGGGGAGCAGCATGTGGGGTGGGAGGCTGGAGGTTGTGTTGCCTTGCAGTCTATCCTGGGTCCAGGGAGGTTAGACTGCCTGAGAACTGGGTGGGTCAGTTGAGACATTTCCCCACACTGTCTCCCGTGACTACCAGACTGCCCTGCAGGCCAGCCTCCTGTCCTTCCTGACAGGGCACCCTGCAGGGATCTGGCCCTCCAGTGTCCTCCCAGCACTGCCCACCCAGCCCTGTGCTCTGTCCCCGGATCTGCTGAGCCCCATGACTGGCTCCTGTGTTCATTTCTCAACTCATATGTCCCCTGTCTCAAGTGTCCAGCCTACAGCAGTCTGGGCCCTTGCTGCTCCAGCCCTCCACTGTGTGATGTCTGCTGCTGCCTCCTCCCTGAGACCAGGAGCCTGGGGGAGCAGAGTCTTGTCTGCCCTGACTCCTGCTGTGTCCCTATGAAGAGCCTTTGCACATAGCAGGTGCTCCATAAATGTTTGTTGGAGCCTGGAAAAGCTCTCAGGCCTGCCTGGAGAGCAGGTGGTGCCTTTGCCACTCTTGTTGAGGGCAGCAGCGAGACTGAGGCTCAGGATAGGGCCGGTGGGCAATGTGCTGAGTGGACACACTCAGGAGACTGCCTCTCTCTCCTTCAATACTCACAAACACCAACGGGCAAATGGAAAAGTTAATATACAGCTGAGCACAAACCAAGGACAGGATGTGTGCAAGTTAGACCACGCATTGGTGAAAACACAGGGACAGAACAGTTGGTGAGCCCTGACCAGAGGCAGGTGCAGGAAGAGTAGGTTCGGACAACTGAAAGTAAGGTGAAAAGAGGAGCACAAGGGCAGAGAAAGGGGCCGTGTGTGGAGGCAGCACAGCCAAACACCCAACATGCCAAGGGGCACTCGAAAGTGTCCATTTGGGGGGTCCCAGAGCTGAGAGGACAAGTCCAGGGGGACATTCAGGCCAGCCGTCCATTGGCAGGTCCTGTTATCCAGGCTGGGGCCTCACCTCAGCTGTGTCCATCAGCCCCTCGCCGTGGCACCTAGCTCCTAGGGCAAGCACCCCTGACCCAGCTGGGGGCAAATGTGGATGGTGTCCAGGGCAGCTCCAGGTGGCCTGGCGGCCCACAATGGGTAGAGAATGGGAGGTGGCCAAGGCCCTGGGCAGCCCCTGAGGAACAGGGCATGCTGCCCTCCTAACCCACCTGTCTTCTGCAGTCCTCATCACCGGGGGCATCGTGGCCACAGCTGGGCAATTCACCCAGTGGTACTTTGGAGCCTACTCTATGTATCCTTCCACCAAAGACGCCAGGGTGGGCCAGGGGTGCCTGAAACGCTGAGAGCTATACTTTAATTTGCAAGGGCCACTCATGCCACCCGGCCCTGAACTTCACAGTTTGCAGAGGTCTGTGAAGATGTCTGCTTCTGTTCGCATCCTGCCCCCTCAGAACCCCAGTGGTCTGGGAAGCTGGGCTCACAGCCACTTGCCTATGACCATGTGGTGGTCACCAGTGGGTCTGCACCCTAGTGAGGGGTGGGTGGGAGGTGTGGGCACTCCCAAAGGTCAGCCCTGAGGACCTTGCCTGGCCTTGGGGTTGGACTGCGTGGACCTCTCTGCCCTCCCTGGCTGGCCCTTTGGTCCCTGCCCCGCGGCCCAGCTGGATCCGCCGAGGGGAGCTGAGGACAGGGGCCATGTGGCCAGACCTGTCAGAACCCAGTGTGGCTGTTTGTTGCCCAGCTGTGTGGCCTCAGGCAGCAGCTGCACCTCTTTTCTTATGACCCAGGGGGCTC